GTTTTTTGAACCTTAAACCGCATAAACACATTTCAATACACCAAATAATGTTATTTTTAGCAACATCATATGACCCTGCGCATACGTCATACGCCTTCCGCTGGAACGCCTTCCGCATATGAAAGATAACGGAAGTGAGATAAAAGTGTTTATTACCTTTGAAATATGGATATTTTTCTTACAAAAATGCATGGATTCACTTTTTCACCCCCCGGAGCCGTCTGCGGCACGTTTTATTATGACTGCGCGAGCTTTCATGACGACTTGTGGACTGTTCAACTGCAACACCCGCTGACTGCAATGATAGAGCTTGGAATAGCCAGGACAATTTTTAGTATAACTCTGACTGGATTCGTCTGAAAGAAGAAAGTCATATACACCTAGGATGCTTCGAGGGTGAGTAAAACACAAGCCAATTTTCATTTTTGGGTGAACTAACCCTTTAATGCTTGTGATGGGAGTGCCAAGAAAAAAAAAACTCAAAGTGGATTTAGCATTTTGCTTTTCTAAGAAAAGCAGCCATCACACACATGAGTGTCAAAGAACACACTCCAAAGTGAACACATGATTGGGGGGGAAAAAGAAAGGATTTTGTCATTAGGGCTGTCAAAATGACTGAAAAACTAATTCGAATTCGAATTTAAAAGGCATAATTTCAGTTAGGGGAAAAAAAGCTTTTGGCTTCTCTCCTGAAGCCACAAGAGGGTGCATCGTGCAAAATATTATGCACGTTTCTTCAAAGCGTAATAAAATAACATGACTATCTTTGAAAAAAAAAAAGTGCATAATGTTTAAAATAATGTTTATAACCACGTATAATTAATAAAGTTGCTTAAACAAGTAGAAAAAAAAAAACAGCATCATGCATGTATGTATAGTTTAATACAAAGGACCGAAAACCAATCACAAAGAGTAGGCTACTTTCTTCATTTAAAAACATGAGATATATTGGGATGGGGAAAAACCGCCATAAAGTCTTGACATGTTTTTTTTTAAAGTTGAACTTGCATTAATTTTACATGGCTTTCTAAACATGCCGCTCTCTTGTGCGAGACGCGAGTGCAACGCTGATAGATGTCCCTCTAGAAAATGTGATAAATATGCGTTCTGTGTGAACGGCTTGGTTTCAGTTTTGCCGTAAACAACATCTTCTCCACACTGATGCTCTCGTTTTCCGCTATATATTGAATGAACAACGTAGCAGCAGCACATCTAGTGGGTTCAACTGGATAGGCTATTTCGTGCGCCACTGATAGGCTGCCTGATGGCTGACGCAGACCTACAATTCGAATGCAACGTTTTTTCATTTGAATGTGGATTTTTTTTTTAATTCGACGAATATTCAAAATTCGAATTTTTATATATTTGTCATGTGTTGGCTTTATCTAAACGCCCACAAAAAAACTGATCATAAAAGAACAAGCTACAAAATAAGTGCAGAAGTGGCCTCAAAGATCAGCTTGTCTTTATAAGAGCTTTCTATTTCCTCTGGAAGCCATTTCCCACAATTCCCATAAAATAAACACAAGACAAGCTGTCAGGGTTTATTTCGACCAGATGACATCACATTATCCCAGCATTAATACATGCAAAAAAAAACTTGTGGAACCAGCTGAGTTCATCGACCCATCCATTCGAACTCGTAATTATGTTTGTGTTCTCTCCAAATATGACAATCTGTTCAGTTCTAATATGCATAATCTTAATCTTACCTGTACATAATAAGTCCCTTTAGTCTGGGCATACATCATCAGGAAGCAGTAATCCAGGTTCTGCTTTGTTCGCCATCTGCAAAAACAATCAGCATATGCTTTAAAAAGAATTATACACAGCCACACATACACAAACCAACAGGTTGAAGATAATAAATAGCAACAGAGACCTGCTGTTTACAAATAAGAGGACAGTGAGTGATGGATTATTTCTGGCAGCTGCTGTTTGTCGAGCTACATGGATATTCTTTTAAAGTATTGAGCTCAAAAATTGACAACAAATGTTAAAATAACTCCTTCAATTTAAATATTGCACATAATGACATTTCACACCAGGTTTGAAGTCAGTTGTCTTTGTTTCTTGCATGTCTCATCACTGATGTCAAAGTGTGACATGGGAGCTGAATTAAAATTTGAGATACAACGCAAGGGGACATTCAAGCCATTGGCTGGGACAATGAAGAACAAAAAAGGCTTTTCCCAATCAGTTGGCATTTTTAGACCATTTTACTTTACTTGTTAAAATGGAGTTGGCAGTTTCCAAGTGCAAGACAGCCTATTATATGAGATCACTAGTAGCTTAATGTGGAAGAATGCGACTTATGGTTTATGGAAATTGGCAGGACAATATCTATAACTATAGCAGGGTCGGAAATTAACTGAGCTTGGGGCAAAAATACCTCCAAACATCGAGGTATGGCCTGGGTCAGAAAATGTGCACATGTTGTCAATATTGTCTGTTTTTGCTTTATTTTGCAAACAAAAATAGTTTTAAACAAATCCACAATAAAGTTGAGCAAGACTAAATTAATCTGCGTTTTTGTGTTAATCAGGTGTTTTGAGCAATCAAATCGGTTGAATGAATGATGATTCCCTTATTAAGACTACACACACACACACACACACACACATACATATATATATATTGTAGCATTTGGACCAATCAGACACATAAACTATTTGTTATATTTAACAAATAATCTCTGATGCCCCTTCACCTAACCAAAGGGCCTACTATGAGGGTCTATGGACCCTTCCCCCGAAATGTAACTAACACCTCAAAAGGGCAGAACAGGCCTCTGGTTCCATGACAACCAAAGACCAACCATCTGACAACACTAGTTTTATTGCTCAAAGGAATGCGGGCAGAGCACAACTCACAATTTATTTACCCTTAGGAAAGACACACAATGCCCATAAAAATGGACTATTCTCTAATTAATTCATAGGAAAACCTTTCTGTGAATGAACACACATCTCCTCAGGACATTCCCATCGCACCTCTGGGCTAGAGGTGATCCAGAGCAGAAGGAGTCTATCTTGGTGGTTCACACTGGTCCAAGACTGCAGGTAAAAGTCAATGTCTCGCAGGTAGGCGTGGACATCGTGGTCTCCTGCAAGTTCTGGTGTGAATGCAGGGATGTTTCTGGCCATTCGGTTGAGGTCTTTGAGTGTCACTCCATGTGTCATTTCAGAGTTTGTCCAGAGAATTCCTTCTTTTGAATTGTATACGGTTTTGTGTGTGTGTTATGATAGATCACTAGTTAATATAACCCCACCATGTTATATGTTTGGTCTCTTTAAATTTGTTTTCTGATGATCTAAATGAGCGTTTATATTATATGTGGGTACATAGGCAATATATTAGTGTTCTAAGAATCTTTAGTAATTTTGCATCAACACTCAATCGAGTTCCATATGCAAATTACCATGCTCTAGCCCGGTGGGCTCCAACACATAACCTTTCAGTCAGCGGTTCTGTTAGACTCTGAGAAGATGAGGATATGAGCTAGAACGCTTCTGCAACCCCTAAGTTCGTGCCAGGCCTCGGCCTTGACTTTCCATTCACCAAAGATCCTAGGATCTCAGCTGATGTCTCTCCTAGCTCTTTTTCACTTTCCACTGGGAAGAAACTCCCAATCACCATCGAGTCAGAACATCTTTGGAGTTCATCACTCTTCAAACCCGGAAGAAGGTGATCGCGACTCCTACACCACCGAACCTCCAAACCATCATGACTTTCATCCGAGACTGCATCCGTACGCTCGTTCCAGGCCAAGGCAATGCAAGTATTGTGCATTTAACTAAACGAAACAGAGGTTTAATATAAGCTGTAGACCCCGTTCTAAAACGGCGCTGATGGTTTCACTCAGGTGGTTAACTGACTCTTTTCATAGCTTCATTGTGTGTATATATGAAGAGTTTGGTTCCAAAACGCGATAAACAGCATTTAAAAATTTTTTTAGTTTCCGCCAAAATCGGTATTGTATCTGGTCGGTATTGAAAAGTCAGTTTTTAATTTTACGCAAAATGCGATATCCACCGAGCTATTCTGTCATGTTTTCTCCCTTTTTTTCCAAACTGCGACAAACGCCAGTCTCCCTTTTCTGCAGAATGCGATATAACCGCTCAACCTATCACAGCGCACCATTCCACGCACTCTAGACAGTAATGGCGGTGCTTTGAATACACCCGGCATCCTAGTTTTCCTCATCTATTTTGTACTTTGCGATCAACAAATAAATCGCAAGCGATTGTCAGTAAAGCCGGTTCTGTGAATAGTAAATCTCCATCACGTGCTTTCAAATGGAGCGGCATTTAATACACAGAGCCGTAAATCACTGCTATATCGCGTTCATAATCGCAGATGAGTCGCATTCGATTATGAACGCGATATTGCGTAGCTTGTCAGTGTAAATGTTTTTATTTATGCTATTATATATATATATATATATATATATATATATACACATTTTCATTTTTATTAAAATACATTTGACCAAAAGTGATTGTCACTCAAGATGACTCAGCTCACATGAGATGATACATGACGTGAAAAATATTTGTTTCCTCTTAACCCAAGTGTTGCCACATGGAGTTGTGTAAAAGAAAGATATGTTTGATCTTGCACATACGCTGATATGTTTCAAACTTTGATCCATTCTGTATAGTCTAGAGCAGTGTTTTCCAACCGGGGTGCCGTCTATCGAGAGCAGGGGTGCCGTGTAAAAAATATATTTTTAAATTGCTAAAATGTTCAAAAAAGCAGCTATTATATAATATCCATTTCTGATGTCGCCAATAATTAGAGATGCACTGAAATTTCGGCTGCCGAAAATGAGTTCACCGCCCAGGTTTCACTGTCACGTGGTGTGACGCTCTGCGTATTATCCTGCTCTATGTGTGTGTGCTCCGCTCAGTCGCTCACGGCCCATGTGAGAGCGTCTTTATTTGTTCTTATTTTATTATTAACTGCTTAGCCTCCTTGTCATTTTTTATTCAATTCATAGTTTTAAATCTCGTGCTACTGCAACAAAATCAAAAATACACTGAGTGAGCAAAACTTTGTTTAATTACCATTATAACTGACTATCTCACAATGTTTACATATGAATAAAAGCCTACATTAAAATCTGTCTTTGGTCTTTTCATTAGAAATTAGCCTACTGATTGCAACCATTGATGGACCATTTTTTTAAATAATATTATTAAATAAAAATTTAAATATCTATATGACAGTATATTCTGCAGTTCTTCCCTGCTGTACCGAATATCTATACTTTTCAAAGTATCATATCGAAGTTAGAAATTCAAATATTGTGACAAAATTAATTTTGTAGGGTGCCACAAATTTGTTAAAATTTCCAAAGGGTGCCGCGACTAAAGAAAGGTTGGGAAACACTGGTCTAGATGTTTTACAGCCACTTCACTGACTGCAGCTAGGGTATCTGGCGTTATTTGAAATGAAAAAAAAAAAATACACAAAAGCTTTTTTTGGGGGTTAAATTAATAAAATCTGTCAGATATTTTCCCTATTGTCTTCATAGGCATGAGACTTGATTAGATGGCCAAACAACACCCATCCAGGTTTAAAAACGCACACAGGACTGGAAAACACCCATTTGGATCTGCACAGTCGGTCAGAAGTTTAAACAAACAGAGAAATGGATTGAAAGTCCCACAGTGTAACTCTTATCAGGGAATGAAACTATGAATGGCCTACTTTGACTATGTATATTATACTAGGATAGGAAAAAGTATTTGAACATCAAAAAATAACTGACTTGACATTTAAGAACTATATATAACTGTTTACAGCCTAGATGCTCTTAGTGAGAGTGTGTAGTGTAGTAACTGGATTTTAACAGCAGTGACCACATAAAATGTGCCGATGCCGAAAGATGGAGTGAAATGATAAACACACAAGCCTCTCACTGTGTTTTACACAAACTTACACACACATACAAATTCAGCATTTTGGTAAGGTGCCCTACTTCCTGTGAAACCCTGCAGGATGCAAATGATCTGTTAGAGACTTCATATGTGTACATTTACATCAGTTTTTCAACACACACACACACACACACACACACACACACACACACACACACACACACCATAACCCTCCCAGAAAACAATTTTTTTTATTTAAAAAAAAAACACAATTTAATGTTTTCAAGTCATTTGGTTCACAATGAACACAGATAGTGTCCTCAAACCATGTTTACGTTGTAGTACCCATGTCATTATACACGTGTTCTCATAAACCTTATACTGTACACCAGAACACACACACCATAACCCTCCCAGGAAAACAATTTTTTTTATTTAAAAAAAAAACACAATTTAATGTTTTCAAGTCATTTGGTTCACAATGAACACAGATAGTGTCCTCAAACCATGTTTACGTTGTAGTACCCATGTCATTATACACGTGTTCTCATAAACCTTATACTGTACACCAGAACACACACACACACACACACACACACACACACACACACACACTGTACATTATTGTTTCTCCTCTATGCCCCACCTTAATGAAACGCGTCGATTTTTACAAAGCTCATCGGTCTGAAAAGCGAGGTGTGCTCTGATTGGCCAGCTATCCAGTGCGTTGTGATTGGCCGAATAAATCAAGCGTGTGACGGAAATGTTACGCCCCTTACCATACTGTGATGCCCTGTTCGGCCGGAGCAACGAGACATTAAATCATTAAAACCCATTATAAACGAGGCATTTGTTGCATCCAGTGGGGACATAATTACGGATTATAATGACTTATACTGTCTT